TCAACATCTTTTTTATATTATAGCGACCAAAATTGGATTCCAAATGTGGTCTTACCAAGGCATTATAAAGCGGTACTAACACTTCATGTGATCTTGATTCTATCCCTCTGTTAATGCAGCCTAGGACTGCATTGATATTTTGGGCAGCTGCGGCACACTGCTGGCTCATATTTAAGTGGTTGTCCACTAGGACTCAGAGATCTCTCTCGTAGTTACTTCTATTGAGTTGTTTTTTAGTTATTGCTTTAGTGGTTTTATCCTCAGACCAATAGCTTATTTACTGGCTCCATGTTTAGCGAAATGAAACTCGTTTTAAAATGAGTAATTATAGCAGATTTATTTACATGTTGACTTTATTAATTTGTTGATTTCCTAGGCTAGGTTTCATTAAAAAAATGTTTCTAATAATCACAGAAAGATACAGAATAAAGCCCACCATGAAAAGAGAGATGCTAGGGAGAGTTAATGGCTCAGGAAGACTAATATTGGCATGGATTTTAAGAGACAGTTAAAGCATATTAGAATGGGATTACTTATATAGAAGACATGTTGTTTCACAAAAGAGAAGGCCAACTGCAAGAGAAGGCCAACTGCAAGAAGGCTACCTTTTTGTCACTGCCAAATGATAATCTACAGCAGTGGTTCTCAACCTTTTTAATGCCGCGACCCCAACCGGTCGTAAGTCGAGGACTAAACCGGTCGTAAGTCGAGGACTAAACCGGTCGTAAGTCGAGGACTTTCCCTGCCCGGGAGCACCGCGCATGCCTGGTTCCGCCCCCTGCGCTGGCCGAGGCGTAGCTGGCAAGCGGCAGAGACGGAGCAGGCCGACCACCAGCTGGCCCAGCCCAAGGGAGGTAAGGCACCTGCTGGAAAAGGGGAAAAAATGGTGGACAAAAAAAAATGGCGGACAAAAAAAATGGCAGACAGCCTTGCTTGGCGACCCCCATGAAATGGTCGATCGACCCCAAATGGGGTCCCAACCCACAGGTTGAGAACCACTGATCTACAGGTTATGGCACAGAGAGCACTACATCCTTGAAAAATATGGATACTCAGGAACATAGCTCAAGTCATTCTTTAGGATATGGTTCTGAATAGTTAATACCACTCTTGGATGAGTAGTTCTTAGCTTTACGAATTAAAGAATTGCCTACTCTGGAAACTCTTGCATTGCCTCTGAAGGAACAGGAAATTTAGAAATACATCCCTGAACCTTTCATTATTATTAGAGAGCAATGGTGGCCCTAATAGCAGCAGATCTAAACTGTTGGAAAATACTTTTGAAAATAAGACAAAACAAGCCAGGTTCTCATGCTCAAATCAACAGTTCCTAAATACAACTGAGAGCTGAATGTGGTTCATCATCATCGTCTTTTTACAGTCCTTCACTTCTTGCTTCAAATGCAGCTTGGATTATTTAACTTTGAGGTATTGAGAGTTTAGCTCTTGGATTTCCAGATAGGTCATTCTGCTTCATGAAACAATAAGAAAAATGTGCAACTTAAGCCTGACATTGTTTTGTTTACATTTTATCATTTTTTTAACAAGAAAGTTACTGAAGATTTAGTTACCTTTGTAGGCAATTAAACCAATCTAACCTCTAGGACAGAGCTCCCTGACTTTTTGGGTGCCAGGGATCAGTTCCGTGGAAAGAGGTTTTTCCACGGATTGTAGAATGTGTGTTTTTGTGTGTTGCCTGCATCCTGCGGATGGGGCTTTGCTTGTTTGTGCGGATCGATTGTTGGCATGCCGCAGCCCGGTATTGGTCCACAGACTGGGGGTTGGGGACCTCTGCTCTAGGATGTCCTCTGTTACCATTCCAACTCGAACTTATTACTTTCTGTTTTTGTTACCCTGCATTAGTTAACTGTCAGGAATACAGCTAGTCCTCAGCTTAAGACCACAATTGAGCCCAATTGTGAGACAATAGTTGTGAATTTTGCCCCATTTTACAAGCTTTCTTGCCACGGTTGTTAAGTGAATCACTGCAGTTGTTAACTTAGTAATATATTTTTAAGTGAATCTGGCTTCCCCCATTGACTTTGCTTGTCAGAAGGTTGTGAAAGGTGATTGCATAATCCCAGGACACTGCAACCATCATAAATACACGTCAGTTGCCAAGTGTCTGAATTTTGATCATATGACCATGGGGATGCTGCAAGGTCATAAATGTGAAAAACAGAATTAAGTCACTTTTTCAGGCTGTTGTAACTTTGAACAGTCCCTAAACGAACTGCTGTAAGTCGAGGATTACCTGTATTGTATCTTTTTTTACTTGAGCATGATTAATTTGATATTTGATTTCTAGTATCAAAATGCAAGTTGATACTTAAGGATTCTCAGAATTTTAATAACAAAACCAAACATTTTATTAAGCATTGTTTATGTTACTATCGTCTGCCAGCATTTGGGGAGGGATATAAAACAAATTCTATGCCTATCTCAAAGAGAAATTAAAGAAACATTCATTGTATTGTTAACAATTTAATCTACTTTTGAAGCATACTATTCATATGAAATGAAATTACATGCTTTTTATATGCTTCTTTTGGAATTATCTGTTTTAGGTTGTTCATCTTAAAGGCAGGAGTGAAAAAGTTGTATCTCAAAAAACTAGTGTAGAATAAAATTTACATTACGATTATATCACTGGCAGATTCAGCTTGCTAATCATCCTAATATGAGGTATTGTTGAGTACAACTTCTAATATTAGTGGTAATTACCTGGAGGTATAAATGTCAAAAATGAAGCAAGCATAAAGAAGAAAAAGTTTCTCTTTTTATTCTGCATCAACTTTTTCTCAATATCTTAGAGCAGATTAACACTGCTCTTATTTTTGCAAAGAGAGAGAGAGAGAATAGACAAACAGACAAACTAATTATGATTATCTTGATATAAGTTGCCAAGAGAATTTTAAATATTTGTATTTTTATTATGGTCTCTCTTACATTTAAATTATATTGTCTACATTGTACATAGCACAGAGTTTCTCCATGCCCTGCCAGATCATACTGTTTCTTTGCATTATATCCACATCATGTTGTATGGTAATGGAATTAGTCCAAGAAAGATTGCAAGAAAAGAAATTTGAAAATAAATCCATGAGCATTGTCCATGGGAAACTTATTCAGTTCCCTGTCTTCCACAAAACTCTTCAAATAGCATCAGAATGATATATCTAAAGGGTGAAGCAATTGCTTCTCAAAAAGCAGATGCTAATGTTTTATTGAGGTCACTGTGTGTCAAAATATATATTAGCTGGATTTCGTACTGCAATTGATTCTTAGAAAATTTTCAGAAATCTTATTACTAAACCATATTTGGGAATGGAAAATAATATGGATAGAGCTTAGTAATTTCTGTAATATAGTGGGTTGCTTTTGTTTGTTAATTTGAACTTTTGGTGAATTTTCAAACAAAATTAAGAAATTTGAACAATTGATGACACCAGTCGAAGGCCTGCATTACGTGCTTATCCTACTCACCAAAATGCAAATTTCATTCTACAATAGATTTTAAAATGTCAATTTATTTTGCATACTCTGATACTTGTTCTGTAAGTTGGTATTTATTTTGTTAAAATGAAATTGCTACATCACATTAGCCTATACAGGATAGTCTGTAGGTTATGCCCATTTATTTGGTGAACTGAATACTGGTATTTACAACTGGTCCTCAGAGTTCCAGCTATCACAATGGCCACAGATTTCCATCATTCTATACCATAAATCAGTGGGAAACCTGTCAGGAAGTCAGAAGTCACAATCACATGGGGTCCTCAACATTAAGCACAGTCAGATTATGATTGTGTCACTTAGGGACAGCAATTCCAGTCCTTATTGCTGTAGTAAGCTGAGGACTACCTGTAAAAACAATGATTTACTGCAGATTTCCTGATTTATTTTGCTTCTTTAAAAAGACCAATGATGGATAATATATGTATATAGGAAATACAAAAACACACACAAACATATGCCCAAACTTTTTAAATTGACATATGAATGTCCAAATGGTATGTGTGAGACACATGCACTTTGGTTGTGATTCTTAAAATACAGAAATTGCAAAATAGCGAGCTTGTCCATGAAAATGTATGCTGTACCTTGGAATCTATCTGGGAATATCAATTACATTAAACAAGTAAAATGTTAGAGAGAAAAAAGTGCAATATCCCTAAAGCTGGCCAGCTGGAATGATCAAATACTGATGGCCTTTCTAGAAACCAATAGTAGCAATCATTTGTATTTCTGAGGGAATAATGGCAGCAGTTGAGAAGAGTTACCGCCTTGGTTTTTTTGGGTGACATTTTCCATAAGAGCAATAGAGAGTCTGTTCTCCCTGATATTATTGGACAGGCAGATAAAACTGGGAATGGCAATCCCACTTTGGTACAAATATTTGAATAATAACAAAGAAATGGCCCAACATCTCTATAATATCACAATTTAACTGTTATTTAAAATACAGCATTTATAAAGGAAAAAACTGTCATCCACACTAAAACAAAAGATTTCAGTTAAGATTTATCAATTATTGTATTTCTTAATCCAAAGCCACATTTTTCTGTATATGTAATTGCAGTTAATTCCAATTTTTAGATTGTAAAAACTACATTTATAAAATCACAAGTAGGGTATTTGTTCTTTTCCAGCATTCAATTCTCTGTTTGTTGTTTTTTTTTTTTTCTTAATCTATGTGATCCATTTGATAAAAAAGCGTCCACGAAAGAGACCTAAAACAAAATAGATTGATGACATCAGCAAGTATTCCAGGCCCAATTGGCAAAAGAAAGCTCAGGATCATGTTGGTTGGAAACATGCGGAAAGACCTTCATCCTGCAGTGGATAGACAATGGCTAAGATGATATTGATGGTGATGATGATGATGAAGAAAAAGAATCTACGTGATGAAGGAAATAAGAGTTTGCCATCTGTTTCTAAATATTTCAAAAAGACTGAAAAATAAGATCAAATCTATGTTTTTCTTTTTCTCCCCCCAGGAAGACATGGATCACAATTATTACACTTCAAGGATATATGGCCCATTTGATTCTTCCAGCCGAGATTTGTGGGTAAACATTGATAAAATGGAAAAAGATAAAGTGAAGATTCATGGAATACTCTCCAATACCCACCGACAAGCCGCAGTAAGACATTTGATATATATTCCAATTTAATTCTTTTTGTTAATACTTGAATTACCTCTTTGTTAAACATTATTCATGTCATGTCATAACATAATATAGCATGTAATCAGAAATATTAATCAATTAATCTATAATTCAAATCTGGAAATCCCTATCTGATTTTTGTCTCTTTTTGTATAAGATGAAATGGTCCTATTTTATATACATGTAGGAAAATTAAAAAAAAATTACTCAGATGAGCTTTTGAATTTCTTTATTAAAAAATGCAGAAAGATTACAAAATGTTTTGAAAGCAAGAAATAGTCTCAGTGACATTCAAGTCAGTGGTTGCTTTGCCCTTGCGTTTGTTTGACAGATGAATTATAGTCCAAATTGACTAGCTTAACTGCCATATTTAGAACTAGAAAGAAACAGCCCTGTGTTTATCCTTTACATTTGCACGAGCTGAATTTCTGAGCACTATTAAATCCTTGTCAAAATATTATTGTTTTGAGTTGTTGATACTTGTCAAATGAGAGAGAGGTGACAGATGTAATTTTATTTCCATATCAAAATATGTCTTGGCTAATTCTGATCTTACAGAATATTCTTGTGTGGGGATATTAACTAAGCTTCTGATTTACATATATAATTCAGTGCCCCGTGACTGCCAAACAGAATTCCTATCATTTTTCCACGTACTGAAAGCCACCAGAAAAATCAAGATTAGTCCTAAAGGGGATGTAAATTCAGTAGCAGAAATGACAGTTCAGTTGATATGACTGAATTGATTCAAGCTCTCTCACTTGAGAAGTACTTGGGCGTTTTGGGGAAAGAAGTCAGATCATTTGAAGGGATAGTTCACTGATACTAAATATTCAGAAAATATAAGAAGTTGAAAGAAATGGAGGATGACTAAAGAGAAAGAAATAAGGGACTTAGATTTTGGCCCTTGGTTGGGTTAAAACATGTCATTTTCCAAAATCAATAGATTCAGTAACCACATGTCATGCTGAGAAAAGTAATAGAAAAGATTAATAGAATGTAGTTAATAGAAAAGTAATAGAAAAGAACTCTAGAATGTGGAAAGAGAGAAATAATTAATACATTCTCCAGATTTAGGCACTATAATTTATAAAAAATATTTTTCTCAAGACAATTATAAAAAATAGCTATAAAGGGATTAGGAAGATGGAATCAGAGGTCCCAGGTAAAAGAATAAATCTGATACAGTACAAAATATTTTGTGAGATATCTAGATATGATGGGTTATGTGGTAAGAGAAAGTCAACAGTTTCACAGAAAGAACCTTGCTGGCATGGCTTTTTGCCTGAGATAAGTTTACTTCAGCTCATCTGGAATATAAATTGGAAGAGAGACTCTGGATAAAGAAATTGTATGTTTCTGTAGTTGCTATTTTTTTTGTTTAAGAAAAATAAAAATAAGCTATCAGAATTCCTGATATTAAATTATTAAACTGAAATATGCCAGGCAAAACAGATTAGTTGCAAGTTTTCAGGTACAAACCTTTCTGATAATGATGATTATGGAAGCTTAAAGAGATTTTTAAAAAAGGAGATACATACATTGAAAGTGCATGGTGAAAGTAATCATATAGCATCCAAAAACCTGTGCATTTTGGTCTAGTAATGAAGACAGCAGGCTAGAGACTGGGATACCATGAATTCAGTCTTGTGTTGGGCACAAAGCCAGCTGGGTATCTTTGGGCCACTCTCTTTCAACCCAACTCAACTCATTAGTTGTGGGGAAAAAGAGGAGTGTTAGGAATGTTCATTGTCCTAAGTTATTTATAAATATAAATAAAATTATTATAAAAATAATAACAGCAGGAAATATAAAATAATAATCTGTTCCAACATGCAAGTATTCATGCAGTTTAGCACACAGAATCAGTTTAATTGAAGTCTATGGCTGCATAATTATAATGCATATTCTGGTTTGGTGATGAGGTCAGAATCTTGATAAAGAAGCAGGACCAGACTCCATTATTATGTAATATAAAGGAATTTAAAGACGATCTAGAAGGAAATATGAACCATTAAGAAGAAACTTTCAGAAAATAGTATATGTAATTCTTGATTTACAGCCACAAATGAGCCCAGAATCTTGGTCATAAGTCATTGCAGTTATTAAGCAAGTCATCACATGACCTGACTCAGTTTTACTATTTTTGTGATACTGATAAAACGAGTTCCTGCATTCATGAAGTGAGCCATATGGCCATTAAGTAAATCCAACATATCACCTAGGTGGGCAGGGGTTTGCCCTTTTCTTTTGGAAAACAGCACAAAAAAATGTTACAAATTATGGTCATGTAAGCATGAGATGCTGCAATTCTCATTTGAGTCAGTTGCCAAGCATGTGATATGCAATCACATAATCATGTGGGCGGGAGTGGCAGTTGTATCTTTGAGGACAGGTAGTAGCTTTTTTGATAGTTTGTCATAATGATGAATAATTGTTAAGCGAGGCTATAGTATACAGTACAGAGATGGAAGCAAATCAGAGAAAGAAGCTCAGAATAACACTGTCCTGATTTTCTTTAGCATAATAGCAGATAGAGAGAAAATTGGACAACCATTCAAGATTCGTTTATTATACTCTAAAACAATAAAGTAGCATTACAGGACACTGTGGTATCTGTTTCTTGACTTTGCCTAACTTTAAGGGTTGGCATATAGCAAATTACATAAATTAATGGTACTTTTCACTTGAATTAATTTTGTGACCTACAGCTTTATATGTAAAATTCTCATTCTAATAGATCTATGCTATATAGAAGAATGCATTGAGGAAAATAATGTTAAGCATTAGTAATTAATATCTGTTTTTGTTATGGTAATTAACTGTTGTATTCAATTAACAATTTGAAGATGACATCTAAAGATTATTTATGTTTATGTGAAAGCAACTGTAAGTCTCACCCACACAAATAAATAAATAACATTAATGCCCTAATAGCATAGTTATGCTCAGGTGGTAGCTACTTTAAATTCTTTTCATATGAACCATATTTGAAAGCAGTGGCAGAAACTTGAAGACTAAAATGAGAATTGGTTACAGAGGAACCAAATAGGTATGAGGGTAGTAACTTGCTTCTTATTGAGGCAATTCATTTTCATAAGCGTGATCATGTATAAAAAAATTAAAAATGGAATTCTGAAATGACTGGAAACTAGTCTCAAATTATTAATCATAAAGACAAATACTTGGATGCAAGTCTTGCTTTTTGGAAATAATCTTATTTTAGGCCAAATATTTCAATGCAGGAGAACATCTGACATTACTTTTACCATTTAGAAAGTCAGAAAGCAAACATGAGTTTCTCTGCTTTTTCTTGATATTTTCAGTCTATGAACTGCTAAGAGGCAGATTAGTAATCTGCTATAATAAATGGTTGCCTTTTTGACCAAAACAATTATTTCTACATATCTTAGTTTAAATTATCTTTTAGCTAACCCATTACCGAATAATAGTTTTATAATAACTTTACCCTTTACCAGATCCAAATTAATGTGACTGTTTCTTAGAAAGTGGTTCTGCAATCAAGTAGGTATTTAATATGTTTAACCTTGGCTATTTGATTCATATGCAAGGATCTCATATATCAAATTTATTCAACCTTTTTTAAAAAAAAAACAAAAAACCAAGAATAGCAATTATAGTTAAATCTAGATTATAACCTTTTTTTCCCTGAAAGAGCAAGAAAAAAATGTGGCTTTTACTTGGATTTGACATCACCTCACTGTTTTATGCTTTATTCCAGTTTCTCAAAGATAATAAATTTAGAAGAGGTTGGAAGGAGGCAAATAAAAGAACTGTCAGAGTGTTAAATTTCTAACAGTTGCCTTGTCAAAACTTGCCTGTTTTCTTTGTTCTTGTTAAAAAGATGCATTTCGTCATTATTCAGTAAAGTGTAATGTTATATCATGCTAAAATTAGTGGAGAAAATTCAGACAACTCCCTAAAGAAAAGAACAAACACACACATGAAAACACACACAAAGATTTAAATTGTTAAAAGATTACTTACAAGATTTTTTGTACATAGGGGAAAGCAGGGATAAAGGTTCAAAATGATTTATTTATTTATTTAGCATGTGGCATAGAATGGATAACAATAAAATTATAGAAAGGAGCACATAACATACATATGGTACACATATGATGAAAATATATAGTCAATTCTGTAAGGTTTGAGGAATGCAAGAATTATATGTCTAAATTATAGGTTACATTTTAAAATAAGTTGATTCATAACAGTAGGTGTTCTATATATTTATCTGATTAAATATTTGTTTAGTTGAAGAAAATCTGCTTTTCCTATTTTGTAAGCTCTCAAATGGCAGCTAGTGACTAGAGTTCCACAGCCTTTCCGGGTTGGCAGGCCGGAGCAGGAGGAGAAAGGAAAGAAGGGATGGTTTTGTAAGGAGGTAAATGCATGCATGTGCACATGCACATGCATGGACATTTTTTGCTCACGTGACTGGGACCATGAATGGGGTTGCAAGCACCCGCGATGCTCACGGCGACTTGAGCACTTGCACGTCGGTTTGCAAATGCCTGCAACACTCACAGCAATGCTCGCACAAGTGTGGCTGCAAATACCCATGACTCTTGTGGCAATGCTCATGCGAGAGGGACTGCAAACACCCATAACGCTCATAGCAATGTTCATGTGAGCGAGGCTGTGCGCACACATGCATACGTGCACCGGCCAACCACTCACGCAGTCCAGTCATAAGTCAGTTTTTTCAGTGCTATTGTAACTTCAAATGGTCGTCAAACAAAAGATTGCGAGTTGAGGACTATCTGCATATATCATTTTTATTATCAGAATTGGAATGGGTGTCTCTCTGCATTTGTGAATGCAGAAGAATGAAGAATAAATAAAATAAAATACAATTTAACTTTAGTATTTTGATATCATACAACATATTTTTATAAAACAGACCAGATTTCTTCAGCAAAGAATCCACCTTCAAATCACTGTCAATTTTCAGACTGGCATAATGTAATTGATGTGTATTGCTGAAATCAGCTGATTTGATAAATCAGCAATATCTGATTTAATGGACAATCAGGAAAAAGGGATACCCTTCTCTCCTATATTGGTCCATTAAATGGAGAATAAAATAATGAAGAATAAAAAAAGAATAAAGTTCTAAAATATATATTTGCTTTAGAGAGCAAGTCTTGACATATTGCTCAATGGCTGAAGCTCTCCTTAGGCTGAAAAAAAGTAGTACATCCATGAATTAAAGATACTGAGGAGAAGGTTGCTTTTTTGGAGCAGTGTAGACAATCACTTTTGATGGAGCAAATTCTGTGAGATGCAAGATATATAAAAAATGAGCAAATTAAGGAAATGATTATTTAAATATGTGGTTCTAAAGAACAAAGGAAGAGCTATGTCTCTTTATGTAAAAGTGTTCATTAAGATCTGAAAAGAACTGGAAGTTGAGATAAGGAAATATCATACCAGTATTTCAATTTAAATTATTTCAGTCTGCTCTCTTTTGTAAGACATCAGCTTTGATTTAAAGTTTCTGGACTGTATTAAATTCCATTATGTTCTAACCTGGCAATTCTAGCTTAATTTGTGTTATAAACTTTTGAAATAAACCAGTATCATACAGAGACCATGGCTAAATATAAGCCAAGGTCCTGACAAGAAGAATGGGGAGGAAATTGAAAATTACTCAGTGCAGATATTCATTCCTGATTTATAACATACATGGGCCGTTTGCATAATTGAAGTTATCGAGCTGTTTTGATATATTCAGGTTTTCATGGGAAGGCACAGGACAAAAAGTTGCTCAAAAAACTAAGACTATTTGGAAGAAGTTTAACAATAAACAATGGTTTGTTGTGAAACCAATAAATATATTTGATCTCTTGTAACTAAGGTGTGGAAGGGAAGTTTTTAAGAGCCAAGAACTGCTTTCTTTTTCTTTTAGCAACCACACACAATAGTGATTTAAAGAAATCACCTGAGAGAACTAGGTGGGAGAGGCCACGAATGCCTGCCCCGCTTGTGGAGATGCTTATGCGAGAGGGGCCACAAACACCCACAACACTCACGGTAACGTTCGCATGAGGCTGTGCGCATATGCATGCATCAGCCAGTCACTCATATGGCCCGGTAGTGGCCCACAGCTCACAGGTTGAGGACCCCTGCTCTAGGTTATATTTGAACGAAGGCTATTAAGGCCTAAAATTTACATCAGTTGTAAATTGTAATGAGAAAGGTGCCTTATATCTATAGTCTGTGAATCTTTACATGGAACTAATGTCATCAAAGAGAGTGAAATTTATTTTTGTGCAAACATATTTAGAAAAGAACGCATCAAACAAAGAGGCTTCAAATAAGAGGCTCATTGGATTCTATGTCCAGCAGTACAAAGGAGTTGCCTTTAAGGAAAGAGCAGGAGTAAATGGGGAAAAAATAACTTAAAGCTTTTGCAAGAGAGGTAGATTACATGAGACAGTGTAAAGATCAAAGAAGCATCAAGATTGTGAGCTCTAAAGGAAGAGTCTGGAATTTGCAATAAAAGAGTAAATGTGTAAGGAAGAAAATATTGGAAGGAAAATATTTTCTTCCTTATTTTTATTAAGAAATAAGAAAACATTTGTGGATATACTTGGAGAATATTGGAAGGTAAAGAAGTGATTTTTTTTGGCTAAATCATCAGCTTGAAACTAGGGTAAGTTTTTAATTTTGAATAGGAACTGGAAAGTAAATATGAATATATCAAGAATTCTTTACAGAGGATTACTTAATGTAAATTAGACTTTAATCTTAAATACACTGGTCCTCAGAATCAACTGCCATGAATTCAATGAGAGTACATCTGGGCAAACATAATTTTCACTACTCTGGAAATTAGAAAATATAGTCTCAGTTTAATCAAACAGAGAAAATCACAGCTTTGAGCGCTAGCTTACTTTTCTCTTTTCATGTTTAACCTATGATATTTTTATTTATTTATGTATTTAGCCTGCTTGCCTACTTCCTTGGGCTACAGTAATGGCCAAAATTGTAGAAACTTTTGGGAAAAGTGTATTTTTGTGATTTGATGGCTAATAACACCACTTTTTTTTTGAGTAGTACCATAAAATTCTATATTAATGGAAAGATAATTTAATCAAGAATGTAATGCAACAAAGTTTGTTCAATTGTCTGTACTGTATTCTATGAAAAGTTATAGCCAAATAACCAGAAAAAGGAAGCACAACTTGCTTAGGTTGATATCAGGTAGCTTTCCTTCATCTGATTGTAGCCAATGAGCATGAGTGTTTAGAGAGCCAATCAGGTGTCATCTTGTTTTGGCAATGAGCCAATCAGATCACAGTAGGATTCAGTTATTGATGTCATGTA